CCCTACTGACGTGTAACTCAACTTGGCAGAGAATCACAATGTGGTACCGCTCGTCTTCTTTAGTTGCGCTTACTCTGTTTGACCACAAGATGAAGCCAGAGGACAGCAGGTCGAATGCTGAAGTACGCGTATAGATGACTTCTGCTACTGATTTATCGGAACGTAGTAACAGCATATGGCTCCAGAGAGTGCCAAGCGCTCAAAATAGATGATATTTATCAGCCATGAGATATTGACAAGGGGTATTAATCATAGCCAGCCGAAGGTTGTATTGGCTGCCTCTATTATTAATAACAGACTAATTCTAATTCATGCAAAAATGCTTGTGCAACTGTCTCACAATTTTTTTTTACATTATAAAAAAATTATAATAAAAACAGTGTAGGCAGCAATAATTCATGTCTGCTGAAGGCAAGGTCATAATAACTCAAAAGATGCTTGTAGTGCTATTAGTGACTGTCATTGCAATGCATTGTCCATCAAACTGTTTGTACTGTATCAACAGTTACAAACTGTCAAATGAAGCTTATATAACATTTGTTACATATAGTGAATCAAATTTCAAGTCAATTTTATATATGGTCCAAAATCACAAATCAAATTTCAAGTTTGAGGTAAACTTGTTCCTTCCCTCTATACTGATTTGCTCCTGCGTCTCTATTTCTGCTTCTTTTAGGTCCTTATGTTATCCATAGCATTTTAGAGTAACTCCTAGTTTCCAAAGTCATTATTTAAATGTGACCCAAAGGAGGTATCCATTTCAATAGGAATGTTTAATGCTAATGCAAAACAAAATCTTTCTATACATGTAACAATAGGACCCAAGACAATTAACAGATCTACTTTATTAAATACATGTAAAACTATAAAATTGTACGATCGTAGGTGGAAGACATGATAAGCGCTGCAGGGAATCTATTAAAAACTAACACCATGTGTCACACGTTAAAGGCACGGCAACCTACACCTAAACAGCTATATGTAATATACTCCACACACATTAGCAATGCTCTAACAAACTATAAATACATGGCATTTTGTACAGTAATGTATTGTTAATTATAAAAACAGTATGCAAATACTGAGAGAAAAATAACCATCCATCTATCCATCCAGCCACTTCCTCCAGCTCATCCAGAGGGACACCGAGATGTTCCCAAGAGCCGAGAGATATAATTTCTCCTGCAAGTCCTGGGTCTGCCCCAGGGCCTCCTCCTGGAAGGAATACCTCACCTAAATGGTAAATGGCCTGTATTTGTATAGCTCTTTACTTAGTCCCTAAGGACCCCAAAGTGCTTTACACGTTCAGTCGTCCACCCATTCAAACACATTCACACACCGGTGATGGCAAGCTACATTGTAGCCACAGCTGCCCTGGGGTGCACTGACAGAGGCGAGGCTGGCGGACACTGGCGCCACCGGGCCCTCTGACCACCTAGGAGGTGTCCAGTAGCCATTCTAGTCAGATGTCTTAACCACTTCAGCTGGCTCCTTTCAATGTGGACGAGCAGCATTTCAGCCACTCTTCAACAAAACTAATTTCTGCAACCTGTTTTTGTGACCTTACTATTTCAATCAATATATGTGACCCAATGACGCCAACAGAACCACATCATCTGCAAAAAGCAAAGATGAGACCCTCCAACAATTGGCTATGCCCAGGTATTCTATCCATAAAAACTATGAACAGATTCAGTGACAGGGCAGCCATGGTGGAGTCCAACACCCTCCAGAAATAAATCTAACTTACTGCCGGCAGTATGAACCAAGCTCTCGCAAAAGTTAAACAGGGACTGATTGGCCCATAACAACTGGCCAGACACCCCCCACAGGATAACCAGAGGGACCAGGTTGAATGCCTTCTCCAAGTCGACAAAGCACATGTAGACTGGTTGGGCACCCTCAAATGTCCTCAAGAGCAGCGGTCCCCCAACCCCTGGGCTGGTACTGGTCCGTGAGTCGTTTAGTACCAGGCCGCAAGAGTTGAGGCTTGGGTGTGAAATTTATGGCTTTCAGGGTTTTTGCTTTTATCGTTAACTCGGTTTACCTGGGTTTTTTCCCGTGTGCTATGAATAAATCTTCCTTTTTTGGTACCAGTACTGTTTTTGTTTCCCTATATTTATCCGCGACACCTTAAAGGCCGGTCCATGAAAATATTTTTGTACATAAACCAGGGACCGCTGCTCAAGAGGATAAAGAGCTGGTTGTTTCTGCTGGATCAGAGGTTGACTAACAGGTATGCTCTCCTCTCCAGTACCCTGGGATAGACTTTCCCAGGGATGCTGACGAGTGTGATCCGCCTGCAGTTGGAGCACACCCTGCAGTCCTCCTTCTTAAACAGGGAGCCACCACTCCAGTCAGTTTTACAAACCAGTTGTTTTTAATACTTTTATGATGGACACAAAGACTCATGAAAAGCTCTCCATGGATCATTAATGAAAATGTTTTGTGGTGTTTATTTTGGTTGTTTTGTGCAGACTGCTCATGTATTGTGCATTTGTAATGTGGTTTCCAGTCTTGGTGTGACCAAGAAGAGGTGTAGACAGCAAGAGGCCACCATGACAGATTCTCGCAGCGATTAATCACATCAGGCCAGCGTTAACCTTCAATGTGGCTGTTGAATAAATTCACATACAAATAACCTTGCTGTAAAAGGACTAACGTATATGCAAGGACAGGCAGTCATATTTTGCAAAGAAAGCTCTTTATGGAGATTACAGTAGGAACCCTAAAATAAAACTACTGTATAATAACAATGCTGTAAATGCTACATGCTGTAAAGCTTTAATTCTCCGTAAAATATTTTACAGTAAGAAACTACAGGGCTGTAAATAACACTATATACAAATATAAATATAGGCCATTTAACAAACATTGCAAATTCTTAGTATACCTAACATGCAAATAGAAAAAAACATGAATGAAAAACTAAGGAGTAAATATAGGTAAAGAAACTGCACTGCTTCGGTTAAGCTTTGTGGCCATATTTAGCATACCCTTTCCAAAAACCACAGGTAGACCTAATGGTGCTCACACACTCACGCTCTGTCATTGCTACTTGTGCAAGCAAAACCACACTAGCATGACATTGCTGCTGACATAATGTCAGGCAAGTAAACAGGGACCCAGACCTGGCAACCCGCTGCATTGCAATCATTTGATTATTTGGTTGAGGGAGTGCTTTGCAACCACATTAGGAGGTGTGGGGGACGGAAACAGAGGGAGTGTGTAGGGAGGGCTTAGGGGAATGAGTCAGAGTTGCTTTTTATAAACGACAGGAAATCAGTTTCCCATATTAGTTACTTTTGGAGAGCGTTAATTAAACATGGCAGCCTTCCAAGTAAAGGCGCTAACACTGCAAATGCTGTCATTACCTCTGACTTATCGGGCCATTCCCTGACTGAAAGGAGATAACAGGTAATATGAACTGGAAACAATACATTAGTAGCTGGAAACAATATGCAATCTAACAGACACTGACTAACAGAGAAAAATGAATAATGTTATCACCAAACGCACATAACCTGTGTTTATACAGTACAAACCATCGCCATGGTTATGCATATAAAAGAATATGACACAGTCAGGCTGTAGCAGCCTGTGTGCCAGCAGCTGGCATCCTTGGTGCTCAGATGTCAGTGGACTGTTAATTAGCCAGGACACACAGTGCTGGTCATGCTGGGATCAAAGAACTTTTCCAGTAAGCGTTTCAGGGAAAAGTGACCACCACAAGAACAACATGAGGAGTTTTTCCTTTTAGCACCAATCTGACAGCTTTTTAAAATGCCTCCTCGCAACTTTTCTTGCTCCATTTAATGACCATGCTTCTGCCTTTCACCCATTCTCCCTTTTCCCATGGTATTATTGTGTATGTGTGCGTGTGTGTGCGTGCGAGTGTTTTGTTCAGTTTTAGCTATTTGTGTCTTTAAGCACTTTGTAACAAACAAGCCTCATAGAATGATGGAAAATATGCCTGGTGCTACAGACATATTCTACTTTTCTCATCTGGTGTCTAAGTAAGAAATAAATCTAGAACAGTGTAAGTGATATTTGTAATTGTATGCAGAGGTTTCTTTGTGTGCGTGTGTGTGTGCGCGTGTGAACAAGCGACAGAGAGAGAGAGGAAGAGAAAGAAATTGTGGTATCCATGGCAGCAAGTGGGTTTCATTTCCTTTTTGCCCTTTTTATTCAGTGCTACTCATCTACGTCCTTGCAAAGTCACATGCATTACTGAACACTTCAGTCACTGTCAGGCTGCTTGACACTATAATATTCAAGGGCTGAATGTACACATTTAGATTCAGCAGGTGTTCTCGCCATCTTCTGTTCCTCCGAATCCAGCAAAGTTTGTTATCTAGCACGCCCTAATAAATGAGATGAATATGCTATTATAGTTTAGTATTGTTGTTGCAACTGAGCAATGACAGCTACTCTATAGTGCTCATTATGCCGAGGCACAGAAGCAAGAATATTTATATCACTCCACACAAACATTCAATCATTCTCTGTAATTCTCCCTTACAAACAGACACGTGCCATCTCTTCATACACACAGTATCTGTGCCCAAGGCCTGTGTGATTATGACATTTGAATGGCAGGCCTGCCCTTTTCAGGTGGTGCTCACTGAGAGCTGCCCTTGTGAGAAGTCACAGTGCTTCCACTATAGATGACTAACACCGAAGATGAGACCCCTCTCTAACTCTGTGCCCTCCCACTGCCTTTCTCCCGTCTTCTTCAGCTCCTCTGCTTTCAGCCACTTCAACCCTGCTTCTTAGATCATTTTCTCTCTGTGGCTCCCATCCTGTGACACTCTGCCTAACTCAAGACGTGATGTGGTCTCTTCCAAGAATTCTTCACAGAAATTCTTGGATACCCAGTCTGGGCATGTTGCATTCATTTTCAGTTGGTGGGCTGCTTTTATGTCTAAATGTGAAAATTGAAATAGAATAAACATGACAGACGCTCAAAGTCTCAACACAGAAGAAATGAAGGTCTTTGCAGAGCAGAAAGCTTTATTTATCACTGTGCAGCTCAGTCATAGGAACCAACATAAAAGGCAATATCTGCATGAAAAGAAAGGCGGTATGATGATTTCTTTCCATGCGAATTTGTAAATTGGCCTACCTTTACTAACAAAAAGCTTTTGTTCTAGGAGATGGTTCACATCATCATTTCACTTCATATCTCAGAGAAAGAGAAAATGAAGCCTTCATCAGAGTATACTGTCTTCTCAAAAAACTTGCACAAACCTATATTATGGCTAAGTTTACTTGCTACATCATATTTTAATTTGGCTGTTAGAGACAGTATTTCAATAATCATTGAATCCTTTCTGGACTTTCATGACGCCATCAGATGTGGTTGCTGAGTGATACATGACCCGAGGCTCCATGACAGTGCTGAGACTGATCAAAGGACCCAATCACTCAAGTGAAGAGCCAGCTGTATCCATTTCAAAGTCTAGAAAAGAACTGAAGGCTTGTCGAAGAGACATCATTTAAACCAATTAGATAGATTTAGGGGTCTCAAACAGAATCTACTTTAGAGACATGTATCCTCAGCATATTTACATTTCAACTGAGTAAAACAATCTCATGTTTACTTAATCTCTGTTTTGTAGATGATCCGAAAGAATGCGGGAGAGTTTCAGATGCTTTGGAAATTCAGAATATTGAAAAAAATAATGGAAGTGGCAATAGTAATTTTATTTCGTTCTCCGCCTGCCTTTCATGATAGCAATTGCCTTTGGATGTGTTACACTTTTGAAGTCTCATCTCTCTGATCCGTCCAACTTTCCTCACTGTTCCATTCTAAAGATGTGAGTTTCCATGGCGACAACTCCTCTTTGCAACACAAAGAGATGCAAGATAGCTTAATTGGTCACTACATCCATGAACTCCATGTCCTGTATATATGACTCATTGTGCACTAAAGACCTTTATCTACAAGACCCCACGTCCTGAGAGTACAGTGGCATATGTACGGCTTTGTGTCTCGATATTGAACAACACTGCTGTCATCGATGTCAACTTGTTAGGGCTAGGTTTAGTCATTTTTGCCAAAATCTCAAACACCAATATGCGCTTTCCTTTTACCCAAACCTGTCTTGCCAAAAAGCCACCCTCCTTGAGCCTGGCTAGCTTACCAATCATTTAAGAATAATAGAGAGAAATAGATGACTAACTCTTCCGTCACAAACCACCACTATTCAAAAGGTCATACCTATTTGGATCTAGAGTCAGATCACAGGCAACTTCATCCTGACAGAGCTCCCGATTAATGCCAGATTCATTATTGTAGTGTTGAGCGGTGTCTAGAATCCTGCTGACTCATACACACATATTGAGGAGATGACAATAATCATAGTTCAGTGAAGCATCCTGATATAAACCTGTGGGCTATAGTAGTTTTTTTTTCCACTTTTACTTTAAGAGAACGTGCTAGCTTACTTACAATGACCAGGGTTATGAGGTTTCTGTCCTTCAAACCCTATGTGAAAATGACAAATAGATACAAATACACTGGGTTGACCTGCAAAGCCAAGACACAGCTAATAAATTAATAATAAAATAAATATAGATGAAGTTGCTTCCTGAATTCCTGGGATGGATAGCTCACTACGCTGTCATTGCTCGACCCATGCTTTAAAGTCCTTCTTGGAGCTAAAAGTGGAAAAAGGAGTCCTGTGGAAGAGCACTGCAGAGGAGCGCTGTCATTTGGCTTTAGTCTACATGATGGAGCACGTAAAGCCACAGCACTCTTTCAGGAGGGTGAGTCCTGTCTTGGTGAGGGGCGAAGACGTCTGCTGAGCCCGGGTGGGTGCCCTTCTGGTTGGCATACCTGTAACACGGTACAGTGAATTGTGTTGTATTTATGTATTGCAAAAGACATCTACATCTGTGTGCACACATACATACACAGCAAGATCAATCACTGTATACTGTATAAATAAGTTAAGACCATAAGTGCATATCCTGATGCATGCTTAATCAACCAACTAAGGAAATTCCTCAGAAACTGATTCTGTTCATCTGGAAGAAGCGAAACCCAAGTGACAGCAGAATGCAGGTTTCCCCAACTAGTTAAGACTGAAGAAGTCATTTGGACGAAACATTTCTCCCACTGAAAAATGCTGCATCCAGATGAACAGAATCCATTTTTTGGGAACATAAATACATACATTTTTCAGTCAGGTCTAAAGCACAGTCTCAGCACACCCATTTTCCATTTTATCAGTCGATACTTTCAAAAAAGACAACATTTCAGCTTTCATGACTGAATACCTGTCTTCTTCAGATTTCTTGGCAATTTGGACTTCAGAAAATCTGCCATTTCTTTATCTTCCTCTTTCTCCCTGTAAAAATGAATACACATGTAATACTACAATTACAAAGTAAAACACAAAAAAATGACAAAGCTGTTATGACCTAAATTTCCCCCTGTTCCAGGAATATTAAAAAGAAAATCTTTTCCACAGGTATTCTTTCATTATCCGAAGCATCCTTAAAAATCAAGAAGGCTGGTTTTTACTAAAGCAGAGCGATGAAACATCCTCCCCAGACACCCACTAGATAAGCGAGCTAATGCACCTCTGGCAGTTAAGATTTCCTGGCAAAGGTTTCTATACGCTTAGTGCATATTAGTGAATGTCGCAGTCTCATTTTGTGTTATTTGAATACAGCCCAAATGCAAATAAGTGTATATAACTTGGATACTTGCAGTGTTTATTGTATATGGATATATATCATATGTATTTAAAAGTGATATCTAATGAATTATATTCAGTTATATTAATATTAATGTCTCAAAGATAAAAACTCTCGGGTAAAGATCACAGAGAGATTTCTCCTGTGATAAACAGTCCTGATTTTATAAAAGTAAAGTAAAATAACAGAAGAGAGAGCTTTATATTTATGAGCATGGACAACGTGGCCTTGGGCGCTGTCACATGCATCCTCTCCTCTCTGCACCCATTAACGCACTGCCGTTCTCCTTCTTCGCGGCTCTCACCTTCCCAGCAGCCCTGCGGCTATTTCACAGCATGCTGTCAGCTGCCAGCAGAAAGCGCTGCTCAGACAAACTAACAGTGTTTTATACACTGTGAGATCAAACCTAGAAAACATGCTTATTATTCTACACGTGGTTGTCCACTCGCAGGCAACGTTAGATTTCAAGCTATGCAAATTAAATGTGAAATGTTTGAACCTGTGAGGATGAATATGCTACTCTGGTAGCAAATTCATCCTCACAGCAAAGCATCTGGGTCAACATTTTAAGATGCATTTATTTTCTATTGCTGCAAAATGGACAAACTGGAAGTTGATTACAGTAGATCTCAAAAACAACATGAACTATTTTGACCTATGGTAAGCCTGCTTTAAACTAATAAGCAATGATGATCCACTATGTGTCATTTCCACATCAGTTGGCTCATTAAACCTATTTCTTTCTTTTTTTCTTTCTTTTATTTTTTTTTAAATCATCAGGAGCTCCCCTTGCAGAGCTCATTGATGCACCCTGACACATCTTTAATTGAAATGGCTCTCCGCTGTGCGCTCTGTGGGACCCTCTCTGGCAGCAACGCGCCTGAGGAAACATTCAACTTTTTTCATGGGGAGCAAAAGAACTCCTTTGTGGAGACATGCATATTTTGGATGTTGAACTGAGAGAAAAATTTATCAGCATTAGTGACTACTGAGGAGGTGCGAATCTGTGGCTTATCCTTCATTATGAAGATTTTAAGGAGGGATGAAAGATGAAAAAAACCCATATCAAGCTTTTTTCCCTGCATGTACTTCCATGTGATCTGCATATGCATTTGGACTGCATTTTTAATGATTCACTCAGATTTCACGTGTGGAAGTGACCAAAGAACTCCAGTCTAGGCCATCTGTAAATCACTGAGATGAAAGCACACCTGAGACGTTCAAATTCAACATCATCCACGAGGAAATCTCTGGTCTCTACCAGCTTTTGGATCTGCTGTAGCAGCTCTTCCTCCTTCTGCCGGTCATCATTGGACTTGTCATTATCTGGAATAGCACGAAAGAAGACGACATCAGGACTATGTCCCACATTAGCTACTTTGAGTAATATGTTACTGTTTGTGCACGTAGATGAATGAACAGCTAACTATAATAACGCACATGCAAAAATTTTGATTGATCCTTCAGTTGACTTCAATCATTTATAGTTAAGAGTTAAAATGAAACCTATGGAAAAAGCAAGTCGGTATAAAGGCCAGTAGCAAAGGAAACACTTTATCAAGATCTTTAAAACAATGCACCTAACATTGGTTGAGTTCTTGATCAACCATCAGTGGCTACGTTATTTATTGTAAATTGTTTGCTTCATCTGTTAATAAAAAACAGCACTGCAGAGCAGGTTTGGAGAGTCGGATAAGATGTCCATAATTATTTTTGCATCCCTGTTGTTTACTATCACTTGTTTATGCTAAGCCATAATCAAACTGTTAGATAAAGCATGAATATTAGAAATTTCCTGTCCAGCTGTTTGCCCTGGCTCTTTATGCTAACGTAGCTAAGCACTTGCTGGCTTCAGCTCCAAATGTGTGGGAGTGGAATTGATCTACTCATTCTGTTCTTGGCAACACAGTGAATAAACCTATTCCCCAATATGTCATCATGATTTTGTTTGTTTGTTTGTTTTGGTCCAATAGCAGCAATCATGAACACCCAAAGGACTTCTACCTGGTATGGACACTAATTTGTGAAGCTCCTTCTTCAGACGAGTAATCTCTTTGCAGAGCTGAATGTCATCCATCCTGTTCAGGCATGATGGCGTAAAAGAAACACATGCACACATAAACAGAAAAAGAGCACTTATGTAAGCACTGCAGATGATGAAAATCACAGTACTTTTTACACTACATGTTCCAACATTACTTGTCAGTAACATATTTTGTTTTTTACTAAAGGCTTTTTCTTGTTTTTTTCACATACATATTGCTTCATCCATATATATTGTTAAACAGAATTCATGGTCAGTAGTTTGCCAGGGTATAATGGTTAAGGTTATATTATTTAAAGACAAACCCACTTAAAGAGCTTATTAGACAAATACAGTTCTCATGTAGCCTGAGATAAAGACTAGTGACTCAGAGAATTGATTAATTCAGTCAGAGAAAGGCTTACTAATGGGACTTTACATCATCATTTAGCAGCAAACAGGTATTTGAAACTGATAGTGTCTCTGGAGTAAAAGCAAGCACTCAGTGCAAAATCCTCCAGGCTTTCCAGAGTTTGTGCATAAACCTTCATCCTGCCCCTGAATGTTCATGATGTTCAGCAAGGCCATTACCATCATTACCATCAGCAAGGAGTCATCGTCTGTAATTACCATCTCACTGGGAAATGAGATAATGACCTCATCAAGACATATGGACTTCTTAAGCAACCATTTTCTGTCATGGTAAAAAATAAAAAGAACTGTGCCTGCTGAACAAAAAACCAAAAACATCTTCACCATACACGAAGCACTACTGAATCCCTGGTTGCCATGTCAATAAAATGAGAAAGAGAAATATAATGTGGTCATCATTATCGTCTGGCCTCAACCCCTGCGAGACGCTGTCGATGACCCTTAAAAGTAGATTTATGGGGATGGACGACCGTATTCAAGAGTAAATTCTTGCTTCACTCCTGAATAGGAAAAAAAATGAAATTCAAACAGAGAAAGCTTGTTATTGATCTTATATTTAACAAAGGAGGTGACACAATCTTTCTGAGCAGAAATCCCTGAAGCAGGTCTGAGCCAGATAGCAGTTCTCTGTTTCAGTGACCCTTCACAGAATCAGTGTGAGTGGATCATTGCTGATAGTGAAGAGGGATGGAAGCCCCTCCGTGCCTTGCTTGTCAAGCAAGAGGCCATCGCATGAACTCTGTATCCTATGAACAGACTTTTATTACAAACCACACACATACACACAGAAAAGGCTACACACACATTCATACATATTACACACATTCATCACTGTCAATAGAAAAAGAGACTCAACGCCACACTTGTCTACCTGTTATGTCAGATCCCATCCTTACATGAGCATCTGATAAAATGGCCACTGGCCAAGAGATGGCGATTTGGAATGGAAACGTAACTTATTAGACAAATAAATAAATAAATAAATAAATAAATAAATAAATAAATCCTGGTATTTGTTTGCATGAGGACCCTTGAAAAAATCTGCTTCAGATTGCTACTCTAGTCTACATGTCCTCCTTATCCACTCTTTCGGTCTTTCAGTCTCCCATTTTTCCATTCGCTTGACTCTTGCTTGCTACTCCACACACGTCACTCCTCGCATTCCCCCTGCCATCTGAGCAGGGCAATTGCCTATCTTCCAGAGGAGTATATGAATAAATATCCATGTATTAGCCAGCTTTGTGGAAGCTGCAGTGGAGCCATTGAAATTGTAATGGGGGTAGTTTAGGGTGTAGCTGATGGGAATTACAGACAGGGGATTACACTGCTCTTAATAGGGAAAGCATCACTGCAAATATTATAGGTTGTTTAATTTTTGCACTTATTAAAAACTCTGAATCCTTTATCTTCTTCAGATTTACTACAGAATCTACAAGTTGCCCTCCAGGACTGATGAAGAAAATCAAAAAATTGATTTCAAATAACATTGAGGTGCATTTGAAGCATCTAAACTAAAAATGTACACAGTCATCAAGTTTCAAAACTGACTTCTACAAATCTAATTTAAAATTCTAGTACATCCTAGTAAGTAAAGTCATGCCACTCGATCAATCAGTTAATTTTTTTAGCAACATTTGAAGGGTAAGTTGGGATAGATTGCCATGGAAATTTGGTTTTAAAATGTTTATGCATCAGCAAAAATAGGCCCTAGATTACAAATGCATGTTAACGTAATATTAGCATGATAACAAAGTGCCAACATCACGCTCAAAGGCAATCCTAACCACATCTCAGGCAGACCATTTTCAAAGCTGTGCAGCTTCTGAAAAGAGCCCAAGATGGATATTTACACTCATGCACCACTGTGCAACCTTCTTGCTCTTGTTTTTCTGCTTTGCAGAATACAGAAAGTGCACATTCTTGAATAAGTGACTGCTCTCGGTGCAAATTGTGGCACGATGTACAAAACAAAAAGTATATAAATAACTTTACATCGTCCTCTTTTTTATAGGCTTACCATTATACTCAGTGTAATTATCTATTAGATGTAGATTTTTAAAAAGTCCCTACTTGTCAATTGTAAGGTTCGATTTCTCATTTTTACACACCTAGTGGTAAAGATTTAACAATAACACAGTTGGATCTCAATTTTTCATGCATTAATTTTACCTTCTGTTGTGCAATTTTAAGCATAATAATACTGACAAAATAAATCATCTGCCAGCTCAACTAAAATCTAACAAGCAATGAATTTTCACACCCACAGCAAACAATGATTTTAAGTCCTCACATGTATCTGAGCTCTGACTCTCTCCTAACCAGGACATCCCTGATCCTCTCAATCTTAAAGAGCTCCCCCTCGATGTCATCCACGGTGATGGTGGAGTCTGCCATGGACACCACGTCGTCCTCTGAAAGAGAGACAGCGAGAGACTTAGTCTTTCTGAACGTTGGACAAAAGACCACACACTGGAAAAAAATACAACATTCCTAACAAGGCATTTAGATTATAGACTCTTCAGTAGGTTAAAACATGCCACACACAGATTGGTGATGTGTGTGCACACTTTTGAAGATGATCTACTGTGGCATTTCAGAACCATAACGCATATGAATTTGCATTTTAAACTGTATAAACAGCTGCAGCAGAAACTGCTGCTAGATGAGCAGAAGAGCAGAGTGTCACAGCCAAATTACCATGTGTCAGCAGCTGGGACAACTTGCATGGCTGTCGCCCCCACACACACATAACTGTGCATACACACAAACACTTTAATTGCATGATGCGTTAGGCCAGGAAGTAAGGCAGTAAAGCTGTCAACCCCTTCCACTGCAGTTTTGTTTACACTGCCATGTTGTGCTGTACAAAGTCTCTAACTGCCTGTCACTATGCATAAATAAAAAAAAAAACCATTCTATTCCATGTTGTTATATTTAATATTTATTAGTAATATTTCACATCATTTTTTTATTTTGCAGTTGCCTGTTTTTAGAATTTCCACATGTGCTGTTCATAAATAAAATTTACAATCTGTGGTATGTGACTATGTGATATCCTTGTTTTGCATAGACTAGAATACACGTACAGCATTTAATACTTTTGTGTGTGCTGTGCTTTAAAGACATTTAATAACTAACTGCTGGCCGCAAAATAACTTACAATGAACGCTAATAGGAAGGAACAATGAAACAATTCTCAAATTATTTTTACAACATGCTGAATTTGTGGCATGTTGTAGCACAGAGATCCTTGATAACTTCCAACAAAAGCCTGATGGCTGATATATAAATAAAAAATAAATAAAGCACGGCTGTGAGGAAAAACACTTTAAGGGTGTTTATTTTGCATAGTTTGCCCACCAGAGGGCATTCTGCAACTTCCTTGCTGGCCACGCTTGTGGAAATGCAAACATAACAACCAGTTGGTCTGAGTAAATGGTCTGTAGCGCTTTACTTGGTCCTAAGGACCCCAAAGCACTTTACACTATACACAATCATCCACCCACTGGTGATGGCAAGCTACAGTGTAGCCACAGCCACCCTGGGGCGCACTGACAGAGGCGAGGCTGCCGGACACTGGGGCCACCGGGCCCTCTGACCACCACCAGTAGGCATCGGGCGAAGTGTCTTGCCCAAGGACACAACGGCCGACGCAGTGGGAGCTGGGGCTCGAACCGGCAACCTTCCGATTACAAGACGAACGCCCAACTCTTGAGCCACGATCGCCCCCAGTAAAGTCGCAGAGCTCTATCGTTTTATTGGCACTTGTTGTGACAATAAAACAAGTTAATTTTTGAATTGCACTGTTATAATATCTTAGCAAGGAGTCATATTCAGTATCTTATTATTACTCCTATCCTATTCCAGTGTTTTTATAAACATATAATAAATATAATAATAAAGGTTATCTTATAACTAACATAATAAATGTTGGATTTCAGGTGTCTGAAAGAAATAAGAAGTAATTGGCCAACATATCAGCTTGTTAAATCACCAAATATCAGTACAGGTATCAGTCTAAATAATCTGACATCTGTCAGGCTCTAGATTTATCATAAGAAATCAACTGTTAAAACATTAACCTAATACAAATCGAAGCTGACCTTTTTAAAAGTAGATGGCTGAAGACCGACAATGACAGCTACTGTGACTTTATAACTGAAACAGGTCACCTCTTGTCTTGAGTTGTTCCTTTTATCAGTGTAGCGGTGCTGGACACCTGTCACTTCCCTGCAGCGAGCAGCCTTACATTATGGGCTGAGAGGAACACAGCCAGGGAGATACCACTTCTGACAGTCTGTCCCTGTTACCTCCTGGGGTCACTAAAGTCTTTCTATATACACACCATCACTCAGTGGAGCTTTATTATGGAATCTCTATTCAAGCCTCAATTAGCCCTGGGGTGGAGCAGAGCTGTCTAGGTTCAAAGTGCAGTGAAAACACTTATTCTGCACTAGCCTGACAAAAAAGCAGAATAGAAATTCAAACTCCAGGGTGACTTCAGGGTAAAAGCATTAACCATACTTCACGATAACTGCAGGTTTACATGGACTCACATTGCTATGAAAGATTAGCTTGTTTTGTTTTGTTTTTTGCTGCATAAGAGACATCTGTGCGACATCACAGATGTGCGACTGGTCTTTTGTGTTTCAATATAATCATTTTTTCCCCAGCAATTTGGTTCTACTGTCTTACTTAAAAACTGTAAAAACTAGAAATTTGTGTCATGAGGTTTCAAAAAAAGCATTTTCACCTTTGAGCCAGCGTGCTTTCTCACTTTATTTCCAACTATAGAGAATAGGAACTACTCTAATGACTGTCTATGGAGCCAGGAGGCAATTAGCTCAGCTTATAGCTAACACTTGAAGCGCAGGGAAATCAGTGTTTAACTGAAGCAATCTGTTTCAGTCTCTTTACCTGCTGTGCCAACTGTGCTCTTCTTGTTATCAAAATTACAGACATGAAATGTCTGCAGTAAAAAGGTGACACTGGATTGTAAAAAAATTAAGTTAAGAGTTCAACCTGTTTTTTTCATCTTTTTGACATGGTCACAGCAGTGTGTGCATTTTTCCAAACATTTAGTGAGGCCATTAGCTTTAAGTTAGAAAGCTTTATTGTGGCATGATCGGAGGACTTCACACTTAGTTTTGGGGGTTTAGGTTTCAGTTAGGTGTAGGTAAGTGTTCAGTTTTGGTTCTTAGATGGGATATATAAGGTTTAGATATGGGGATTAAAAAGTGTGTTATTATGGCATAGAGGCAAGTGAAAGAAAAACAAAATAGTCGCTAACAGGACACAGCAGAGTATTTAATCAGCTGGTCACCTGGGTTTTACATAAATGAAATTCACTACTCTGCTGAACTTTCAGAAATCTACACTCCTACCTTGAGAGCTTCCCAGTCTCTCAGTCATTTTCAAACACTGTTTAAAACCTACTTATTCTCACTCTCTTTCAATTCTAGTTGAACAGGGCACTCTGACTTGTATTAACACAGCCTTATTTACTTTATTTGATCATTTTTAGTGTATATTTACTGTTGATGTAGTGATGTATGAATACAGTACAGCACTTTGGTCAGCTGACATTATTTTAAAATAAGCTACAAAAATAAAACTGACTTGTCACAAAAACACATTGCAGCCACTTTGAAGATAAATATTACAGACAATTCACTACATGTATGCCTACTCAAAAACTCGCTGAAGCTTCTTTTTTAAACACGATTATGGATTTTCCTATCTGGGTTAAACACTATAATGTGTCCTGATGTCGTGAAAAACTCTTGGGTTGCTTTTGTAGTGTGCTTTGGGTCATTATCCATTTGCACTGTGAAGTGTGTCCAGTTAGTTTAGCAGCATTTGGACAAATCTGAGCAGAGAGTACAGCCCTGCACACTTCAGAAATCATCCTGTTACTTCTGTCATCAAAAAACACTCGTAACCTGATCCCACTGGCGTTACAAGCCCAAGCCATAACACTGCCTCCACCATGTTTGACAGATGATGCGGTATACTTTGGATCAAAGATGTACTTTTCTTTTTGCATCATTATAGCGCAAAAAAGGACTTCTTTTCAGAACTGCACAGTGTCTTTTACATTTTTTCCTGACAAAACCTAATTTGGTCTTCCTGTTCTCATATATAAGCAGTGGTGTGCACCTCGTTGTAAACCCTCTGTATTTCCATTTGTGATCGTGGGCCTTTACAATGGTACGTCCACCTCTTGACTTGGTTATATGTTGTGAAGTTTTTTTTCTCAACCATGGAAATTTCTCTGTCACTATGAATAGGGATTTTCCCATCTGTTTTTAACACTGTATCGTATCCTGAGGTCAGATCTATTATTACATGGGTTGTTAACAAGTCAAATGCACTTTGAATTATATCAGTAGACACAATATGCTCTGCTGCAAAGGCTCTCTAAGACAAGTAATTTTGCCACTGAGCAGTTATGACTCATCACTAGACTTCCTTTACACCTTCTCTCCGTTCTCTCACTCTCACTGCTAGTGTTTCTCATCTGCCTTTGCTTCGCCTCACTCTGTATCTCTCCTACTCTGCCCTGCCCTTCTTTTCATCTAAACCCCTAAAGATGTGAATTAAATTATGAGCTCAGTTTTACTCTTTTCTTTGACTCCAACTTTCTCTCTTACACTGCCCTGATACGTTCTATGCCTAATGAGGCAAACCATCATACTGACAGACAGATCAGCCTGATTAGAGACCCCAAGGCAAACACAGAGGAGAGAGGGGTGGGAAAATCATTTAGTTTAGAGAAAAAACATAGAGGGCTTAACAGAGAGTCTGCAATAAAAAAAGACATTACAATAAAAAAATAAAAAATAAAAACAGAAATGCTGCTAATTAACAGTTAAAGTCACTTTCCTTGAAAATAAAATTTCACTTGCCTTTTTTTCCATTCATTATTTGAGTACTAGACTGTTATTAAGACAAATCAAGTCACTGGGCATTATTAATGATTATTAAAAATTGAATTAATGTCATAAAGAGGCATAAATGAGTTATATTTTTAGTTACGAATAGATGATGCCAGCGTCCTGCCAAGACCCACATGTGGGCTATTATTCCTTATTTGAATAGCTAAGTAACCTCACCTTACTTTTAATTAAGCAAGGAAACAAACAGGCACACACACACACACACACACACACACACTGCCACTCAATAGACACCTGTGGATTCTTGACATTTTCTGAGCTGCAGCTTGTTCTGCTACTGGATAAATACATTGATCTGATCTATCAGTGCTGAAAACACTCCCAATTAATTGTTAGGGCCTGTTATTGTGTGTTTTACAAATTTACCCATATATTTAGATTACATAGTTGTATAAACACAAGAAATAAACTTTACATAATGCAAGCGCAAAATGATATAAATATATTCATAGACAATGCTGTTTTTTAATATGCTCGATACATTAAATTATTACATTTAATCTGTTTTTTCCCCCCTTTTGTGTGTGTACAAAGCTAATGAGGTCACCACAAGTTCACCGAACAGTTAAGACAGGAGACACTATTTGTAGCAATGCAATGCTAATGAGAACATTTCACACTAAAACCAGAATGCACAGAATTTAGTAATGCTGCAGTAAACTCAAAACACATACACACTTAAGACGTCATTTAAACGTGACTGACATTATCGAAAAGTAATTATAAACCAGCAATTGTTTACTAGATAACCTGCTTTGTGGGTGTCTCTGCTCCATTCAGTGCGCTCCAGTGAACCGTACTGATGCTTCTTATCCATCGGTCCAACAGCTGCTCCTCTATTCTCTGTGCTTCCAATCGCAGAGGCTGGGGAACAGCAAAGACAGCTACAGGGGAGGGTCTCGCAATTGTTGTGCTTCATTAAGTCATCGCCAGTCAGTCAACAACCTGCTGAGGCAGAGACAGCGAGATGCTTCAGTGATCTCCACCCGCTCCGACAGGTGACGGTGTGCGCGTGTGCGCGTGTGCAGCCTGCTAGTGTTACTACCTGGTCAACGCAAACGCGGATTGATAGCAAATAAATAGCGTCATCTGGTGGCACGTGGTTTCAATTACAGTTGGAGCCACAATTTGTCTGCCTCTGCACACCATCACAGTGGGTTTATCATTGAAACAATCGATATGTGATCGAAGCCCAGACTTTTAGATTAAATTAAATGTTTTAGGAATTACAACAGTTTCCATAAATAGTTCTCCATTTTCAGAGGCTCAGAATTAATTGGACAAGCAAACATACTTTCAAGTGCATGGATCATTTTTATTTCTTTATTTATTTCCTGGTCATTAATTCCAAAAATCAGTTATGCTTATGTTATGTCTTCTGCTAAATTCTTATTTGGTCTTCCTGTTCTTGGGTATGATTAGTGGTTTTCACCTTGTTGTGAACCCTGTTGTTTATTTCCATGAAGGCATTCATGATGATGATGATACACCTACCTTCTCCTCGTCTTGAGTTTTTTTTTAGATGTTATGAAGTCTTTTTTCTTAACCATGGAAATAATTCATCATTTCAGCTGCCTTTTGTGGTCTTTCAGGTTGTTTGGTGTTGCTGAGCTGGTCATTGCAGCTTTTTTTTCAGCTTTAGTGGCGACAATCTTCGCTTTCCCAAAGGTTCTCTTTGGAACTGATATTTAAAATTACAGTGAAAAGCATTTTTTGAATGACTGCTTCACAATAAAGCAAGGGAAGACGTCTCAGGTGGCCATGAAACTGCTTGTCGATTAATTTTGAACCTTTAAAAATAGGGGTCTGTGTATAAAAATGACTGTAATTTCTAAACAGTTAATGCAAATTTTTGTATAATCCCTTGAATTAAATCTTGCCGACTTTGACCAACAATCTATGCACATAACACTGTAAATCCCCCGTGGTTGTTATAAGAATCCAAGACTCCAAGTTAAAAAAAACTAAATTTATTTTACACAATCACGGTTATTTACACAATTACATTTGGAACCATACTTAATATATGATATATAAGAAAATAATGTGCAAAATATATCATGATTTTCAAACTTGTGATTTTACCCAGGAATGCTATTTGACACACATACACACACTTGATTTTTTTTTTTTTGCCACATACATAGTAACGCATCATTTCCATTTCCTGAGTTTGAGACCTTTGCCCCCCAGACTCACACCTATAGCCACACAACCTTTTTGCATAAACATCTGAAGCAATGATTGTGTCAGATCTCAATCAGCCATACATCTAGAACTCAGAGCATATCATATGATGACTGCATGTCACACGAATGTTTCTACAATTATGACATATACAGTAATTACAATTACACAGTAACATGTTGTACACCTCACACAAAGTTTTTCCTAAAATAAATTGATCAACAATTATGCAGTTTTAGTGCAACTTATCTACTTCATCTAACACAGTGCAGTACGTGGATTGGTCTTAGGGGTAATTTTCACACTTCAGTAGACTGGAGACATTTACTGACCACTGTTTAGCTGTTTGTCACATACATTACAAGGCAGGCAAACTGTAATCTGTCACTTCTGTTTGGTAGACAGTAGCTGTGCGTGCTGTTTTTTTTTTTGTAGTAATATCTGACATTGCACATTGTTTTAGTTTTTACAGTGTGAGTCTAGAATTCAAAAAAGTTCCCAAACACTAAACCAAAAACTACAGTAAACAGTAGCACCCTATTAACAGCTTACATTATGTAACATGTATATGGATAAAAAGGTATTTGAAAGATTGTGTCAGGACAAAAGCAAGAGGGAGCGACAGCTGTCATCGTACCAGCTTTTCAATAATTTGAATATTTCAGTGGGTGACAGGTCGTGTTTGTCAGCATTCTTGTGTGTATACTGTGTGTGTGTGTTTGTGTGTGTGTGTGTCAACGAAGCAGTAAACGGTAGTGTCTATGAAGTAGAGCAACTGTTACAAAATCAGATCTGCTCCACTAAGTGATAGCTTTTTGAAGCAAAATTTCCAGATTGCTGAGTTGTTATTATGCCACATGACTGTTGATCCAAATACTCATCAGCTACGTGCTTTTGCTTGTTGCTGATCTCTCCACTGTCAGAGACAACATTGTACTCTGGAATTATTCCGGCTGGCACAGCAGGATATTCAAAAGGAATGAACACCGTCAGGTTTAATCATAACCTGCAGTAAAAAAAAAAAGTTGTCCTGTGACTATAAAAGCAGCCTACAGGTTATTTCATTAACTGCAAAAGTTGACACTAGTACTGCCAGTCAATGTGCCAGTCATTTCAGATTGACGGAGTGAAACTCTAGTTTCGGAAGCAGCTCATCATGACTCAGAGGTGATTTCTATTCATTTGCTGGATTAGATGTTTAAAAGAGAGAAAGGTCATTGCCACTGCCACAACTACTAAAAGTGTCTCTGTGGGGTCACTTCATCACATCAGTTGATGATGCCAGCAAATGTATTAATTGGCAGAGGAAGTCCTTTGTTCATGTACTTGCTCAGTCCAGCATCTTTATCCTCTTCCAACTTGTATTTGGACCTCATTGTTTTCTGGACACAGTATCCTGGATCCACACAGGGCGAGACCTCAATGCTAAAACAAAAACATATTTAACATGGAGATCAGTTTGGACTGCGTGGAAACTAATTAGCTCCTGAACCAACTGCAGCTCTCTTTTACCAACTAGTACTGTTGTAGTTGTTAGCAATGTAGCATCACACATTTTTTCCCTTTACCAATGAGACACCAAGCAAAATACACTGACAATACAACTTAGACTACACTCTTTTACCTCTGCACATTTCTGTAAGTCCTGGAATCATCTCTGTCCAGTATAACAGTGAAAGAACGTCTCTCCAAAGTGCGAATTTTAATGTTGCTGGTTCGAAACTTTGGCGGCTCCTGCAAAATAATGCACTTTGTTAAAAAATATTTGCACACACACACACACACATATATATATATATATATATATATATATATATATACATATATATATGCTTGTGGTATCTGGTCAACTCACCACAGTGTTGTTTTTCGTCTTTACGGAGGTTTCATTTATCATCAGTGTCAGACAGTTTAGATCTACGACATAAAGGATAAGAAAACACAGAACTTAAAAACGTATTGACAAAACTACTGAAAGCATGACTCATTGAGAAAATTCTGCACCTTCTGCTTCATTGGACGGAATGGCATTGATCCGAGCACCTGTCATCCTGACCGAAATCCCTTCATCGATGTCACGGCCACTTAATGTCACCTGCACTCATACAGAACCACGACACAAACAAGTGAGAATGAGTGGTTATGCATTCACACAAATGCATCAACACAAGCTACAGAATCAGGAGTGGGAAATTTTTCAGCACATCTTCTGGTAACTGTTAAGAAGTTTGGCTAAACTAGCACTAATAGCAATCCCAGAAGGAAACAGGGGGTTCCCCCGAAAAAAAATGAAATTTACCTTTCTGTAATTCATTGAGACCATAGCTCCGCATACCTCCCCCGAGCTCTTCCTGTGTTTATCTCCTTGTTGGTTAGAGGAATGTGGTTAAACTTGACTGTGCACAGTTACAGTAAAGCATAGAATACTGGGAAAAACACTTCTAAGAACAATTTACCTCTAACTGACGCAGCGATATGCCTGAATTCAGGGAACTCCATGTCCAGATGGGTAAGAAACACTTCCTCCACTGGCTCCTTCGTCATGATGTTGAATGAGATCTAATGGAAATGACACAACGTTTAAAAAATTTGTTTATATTTGAAAAAAGACACTGACAATGCTCACATGCATTGTGTTGAATAAATTTTGTTTTCACTGAAGAAAAGAAGAAAAAAAAAGACCACAAAGAAAATATGTAATGTTACCTTAACAAAGTAGATAGCGAAGTAGACCGGCTGCTGACCAGTGCGGACATAATAGGAAATTATATCAGAGATGAAGGGCTCTTTTTGCCTCTCGCTGCTTGCTTGTTGCTATAGAAAACAAAAGACCTGTAAAATTAACCTGACTGCACAATGTTGTAACTGCATAGTCATTTTGATTGCACATCAACTGTATCTGAAATAGATGTCACTAAATAGTCCACGAAAGGCAGGAAATGCAACAGCGCTTGTTAATTTTGGTACTATGCTAAAGCTACTGTTCTTTAAGTTGACAGTTTCAGAGTTTGTGTTTCAGTTTGAACTCTTATGCACCATACGAACCCAAAGCGATGGCATATAAAACTTTATTTTACATATAAATTTAATCTAAGTATGAGGAAAAGAAAGAAGGAAATAGCTTTGCCAGAGTATACTGAGAAGTTTCTGCAACGAAGAAACTTCTTAGTTTTTCAAATGCCAAACTCACATCAAACAATGAACTGTAACAGTAGTTTACATGCATGTATATCACTGTTCATTTTCCAGTTTCAGAAGTCTTCTATTTCCTGTTTGAGTTTACAGAGCAGTGTCAAGAAATCTTTGATATAAGCTTACTTTACTTGTGGTTTCAGTGAAATCAAGATATTTATTTTCCTCACAGTATGTTATGCAATGCAATTTCCTGTGCTTTACCTCAAGCACTCCAACACACACTGCCACTGTCTACAGTAATTCTCCACTCTCATTTAGTTATACATTTTAAGTATCTAACAAAACCCTGCTTTTAAATATGTTTTATCGTACCATTTTAGCCAGGTTGGGAATCATTCTACCCAAGCTCTTGATGTTGCAGTTGTACCATGGGTCAACGTTGCTCAAATAGGAACCAAGAGTGCAGGAATCCCCCTTGGATTGTTGGTGGTTTTCCTACAAACAAGGAACATGGAAGTGAAACCATAAATACCTTAAATGTGGCTCATTACATCAAAGCACCAATCCACTACTGCAGAGAATAAACTAAACTTTGTGAATACGAAGTTTCACATACTGATCTTCTGGTTAAACAGAAGCCATTCAGTTTTTTTTTAATCTTTTGAGGTTTGTTATTT